CCCTCAGAGGGAAGCATTGGAATGCTTAACGCTGTAGAACAGATGGACAGTTTACAGTTAAAGGGCACCGAAGACCTGCTCTAATGTCCCGCCGAGGACGGAGACGGATCCGGCTCCGCATGCATGGAAATGACCGGAGTTATGGCTCCTCTACAGTCAGAAATCTGTTGGTTTTAATTTAATCTAATGTTTATGCGTCTTATTTTGTGGCAGTCTGGGCAAGTTTAGGCTCTTTGAGCTCTCAACTCTCAAATGATCCATTTAAGTAATGCCTAGCAAAAGAGTGTGAACCGTATAGTGGCGTTTTTGTATTTTTTGCATGCGTTTGTGTCTGTGTTGAGTGGAATATAAGGAGTACAGGCTGATTGTTTCAATGAAACAATTTGATTCAATTTTCCACTCAATAAAATTAGCCATCAGGGCTCGGGCTCTCCAACTGTCCACAGTCCCTCGTTTCCAGATTCTGCTCCTAATTGAACGAGTTTATGTACTTGTCTGCGAGAAATTGGAAAAATTCATCACCTGGAAAATGTGATATTTTTCTCCCTCCCGGCTGTGCACAGCTTGTTTTGTCCTCCCTCTCCCCCCTCTCTTTTACTTCATCAAAATGATGAGCCACTATGAAATTAATATAGTGACATTTGCATGCAAGTGTGTGCGTTCAGATTTCTCGGTGGAATTATTTTATACTTAACTTACAGAATCGGCGTCTTAATTTCATGATACTGATAGTTAAAGATTTCTATTCACTTTGCAAACTGACTGATTCATGTAAGAAATTAACCAATCACATTCAATTGATTTTCATAACTGTTGACGTTGGCAAAAAGATGTATGTGTATAAGATGCATAATATCATGTAATTTACCTACATAGGCCTCGGCGATAAATACTAATACATAAAAATGTGAGTTTTCTTCTAGCTTGCAAATGAATGCTTTCCCTGCCTGTAAGAGCAAGTTAACATTTATAGTTAGTAAAGACCAAATTAACATTCCTGCACATTAAACGTACATGGGAATAAAGTTGATGTAAAATCAATTTATTATAGGATTTTGCATTATTTTTTGATTTATAGGAAGCAATTTTGACACAAACTTGTGGAGTTCATGCAGCTCTATATTTATAATTCATAATCAATTTATATGTATAAAATACATGTTATTTATAAGACTACATTTGAATTTGTCACTGGTTACCACTTTTTTTTTTTTCTCCCCCACCATTTTTTCTTACATTTTAAAAAATTTGTTTAAAGCCAAATAAATTCATTTTTCATTTAATGTAGTTTATTTAATGAGAGATGTAAAAAAAAACCCTGCATAATACATAATCAACACCAAAAAAAGATTTTCTTTCTTAGGAATTGTGTATTAAATAGTTTTACATGAAGTAGCTGCCAGCTGTCATTTCTTGAGATTTCAGATCAAATATGTAGGAATAGGTGTGAGTTTCATAGGGTGTGTGCATGTATGTGTTTTTAATAATAAAAATGAAAAGTGCATGAAAGTTGACTGTTTGAGAGAAAGTGAGAGAGTGTGTCTATGCATGAAAGTTGACTCTGTAGGAGTGAGAGTGAGAGAGATAAAAGAGAGCATCGTGAGATAGATGGAAGAGAAAATGCTGTACGATCTGCCATCTGTGTGCAGGGTTCCTCTCCTGTGCCCCATATGGCCAGGAGAGATGAGCTACAACACACACACACACACACACACACACTCTCGTATGCACAGATGCACATGCTCACACATTTATGGCACGTCTTAAAACTTAATTATCCAGCCTTTTTGCTCCAAGTCAGAGAAGCGATGCTTCTTTTGTAGCAAATGAAAAGATTTCATAATAATGATAATGATGAGTTTGATGACATCACTATAGCCTTTCTGCAGAATTGAAGCTACTTTGAAACTGTTGCAAGTGAAGATACAAGCTGTTATCTTTCTGAGCAGAGCAGTAATTTATCACAAAAAAGAATTCCCAATACTTCATCTGAGGGCACTTTAAGAGAACAAAACAAAAATGATCAATGTAGCTTTTTGTTGTTCTACACTCTTTATAATTAGAGTCTATAGTTACAGTAAGTTGCATAAACACTAGAATAGTTTTGTTAGTAGCATCATTCATTTTAGTTATTCTTACTAATGGCTTTATTCTCACACAAGCTCCTTAAATATATTTATTTTAATGTCATTTTTGTAATTGCTGTAATCGATAAACGTCCCTCCACATGCTTATGTCTTCATACACACGTGTCCTGTGTCCTATTTTTTTCCCCCTTTTCTCACACACCAGCACACATGCACACTTCTGAATAAGTGTTATATATTATACTTTGTAGTGATGGACAAGCTCCTCGCAGGCTGCCAAAATGAAATGAGCACAATTACCAGGGGCGACAGAGCCTGGCCACATTAGGCTGGCCAATCGAGCAGAAACTCAAATGAGCAACACACACACATACACACACACACACACACACACACACAAAACTGAGGGGGGCATGTGCTCACTGAAGATGTTTGAGCTAAGGAGGGGTTTAATGCAAAAGAAAAATTTGATTAAGTTGCATAATTATTGTAGGTTAAACTGTCGTTACGTTTTTGTTACAGTTCTGAATAGGCAGAAAGATGCATATAAAATCTAAAAAAATATTGATTATAGTTATTTATATATTGATTATATTTTAAATGTATGTAATTATTAGTTTCTATATCCACTAATGTTCAAAACTTTGGGGTTGGTAGGATATTATGCTTAGCAAGGTTGCATTTATTTGATCACAAATACAGTAAAAACAGTACTATTGTGAATTATTACAAATTAAAATAACTGTTTTCTATCTCAGCATATTTTAATATGTAATTCATTTCTGCATTTCATCTTCATTACTCCAGTCTTCAGTGTCACATGATCCTTCAGAAATCAATCTAGTATGATTTGGTGCTCAAGAAATATGTCTCATTATTATCAATGTTGAAAACAGGTGTGGCTGCTTAATAGTGTTTTTTTTGTGGAAACCGTGATACACTTGTTCTTTCAGTGTTCTTTGAGTAAAAAAAAATTCAAAAGAATAGCATTTATTTGAAATTTTGAAATGAAATGAAATTTGTAATGTCTTCTGTTACATTATGAAAGTCTTAACTGTCACTGTTGATCAATTTAATGCCTCCTTGCTAAATAAAAGTATTAATTCATTTCAAAAATCCTTTAAAAGGAAGAACGTTCCTGTGTTACGACATTCACTGCTTCCTTTTTTGAACGTATCTTCAGAATCAATTCTGTTCAATTGTGTTGTTCCATAACTCTGTTTCAGATAATGAGTTGATCCAGCATTCTTATGACCGAGGTGAAGCAGAGACAGAGCTCGGATCAATCAGGACGACGTCTTGGCTAAACCCCCGCCGTGCCTCCCCAGCCTGCCCACAGCCAATCAATATAACTGCAGTTGGAGATCCAGGTCAGCCAATGCACTTCCAGTAAGAGTAGACTGATAAAATAGTTGGGTAGAAGGTCTTAACTTGCATCTCAGGGGTCTGCTAGTAAAACGGCCGGCCCGTTCAGCCGATAGACAAGATGTGTGGTATATGTGTGTAAATAGGACATGCTACGAACAGTATTGCTATCTAATAAGTTCCTGTTTGCAGGATTTTTCATTACAGGGTTTTACTTTTCAGGTTGTGATGACGAAAGTTCATTTGAAGTGTACAGATGGGTCTTGGGTCGTGAATATTTTGAACATTTATGGTGTTTGCAGGATTTTTCTTTCCAGGTTGTAACGAAGGATTTTTAACTATTGTTGTAGTTTTGTTTACTGAACAAAAGAAGCTTTTTGCAATAGCTTCATAAACTGTCCTGCCGCTGCTAAGCACAGTTGTAGGTCTACATGAAGTTTCGAAACACTAATTTTGTTTTACTGCTTAATTCATTCTAAACTTAGCAGAAAATGCACTATATACCAATTTATCAACACAGTCTTTTTCAATATAGCTTTTTATGAAGCAGCATAAAATAAAGGAATGAATTACTCGGGGAAAAATACATCATTCGATATTTTGATATAGTGAAGGCACACAAACCGTTTCAATAGACCAATTCAGAGTAGACGTCACAGTTACGTCACTTGCAGCTGCGCGCGCATAGTGGTTGCAGAAAAACACTGGGAACAAGTGGAGGTAAATGGGTAAAATCCATGGAATAAAAGAAAAAAATATTTTTGTGCCTTTTGATGTCAAGATCGGAATGCAAATAATTTTTATAGAATACTGTCGTCAAAGACCCCATTTGAAGCTAAACGCAGACGTTTAAACGGACA